AAAATTTTCGCTTCGATCTTAAAAATGCGTATAGGGAAAATTGATTTAAACTATTTAAAAAAAGTTCTGATTCAAAATAATTCGATCCGTCGTTGTTTAACATAGGGATTATGTAATATCGCACTTTTTGTGAAAGGACCCATATGCTAGTAGAGCTTCGTCCCCCTGCGCGCTTTGCACGCAAACTCCTTAATTCTCTATTTAAAGTAAGAGTTGTGTGATTTAATACAACGACTTTATTTTAACTCTCAAATTATGAGTCCTGTGATTTTATACTTGTAAATGTAACGCATATTGCATATTAAAGTACTTTGTATTACAATATACTATATAAAGCATGATATTTATTGCTAAAGATGAGATATTGCTTAAAAATCTGATTGTTGATCCGTATACATTACAATTTCTAATAAAAAATTTAAAAAAATTCTAGTGTCGCAAATAGTACAATAAAATGAAAAATTAACAGTCTGGAAAAAATTCTGTCAAAAATGAAACAGTTACAAATAAAAATGTTATACAAAAAAAACAACCATGTATAAAACAAGCTATTTTTTGGAATGAATGTTGAATGCATATGTTGTTCTGAAAAATTTTGGCAAATAATAGGACAAGAATTTAATTCTTGTAAACGTAGAAGAATATTTTTACCTGCTGTAAGTCTGTGTGATTATAAATTAAAGCAACTATTGTTAAACGATAACGATTTTAAATATTTTATGTGATATTACAATAATACGACCTTTTTTCCATCGTTTAGTGCTAATATGGTAAGAAAAACAAAAAGCTATTTATAATTTGGAAATTGAAGTTCATGTTTGTTACATGACACCTAAATTTATTTCAAACAATTCTGAAAATCTTTCTTACAGTCAGTTGTATGTGTATATACATAAATGATGACTTCTTTTCTGTAGAAAAAGTTAAAAATTAAACCTAATATTATGTAAGCCGTATGTTAAAATACTAACACAAATAATAAAAGATAACGTTTACATACAAAAACTACAAACTATTTTATTAAGTTATATATGTATACAAAGTCTTCAAAACTATAAAACGTACTTTTCAAGAAAACACTACAATGATGAACAATAAATCAGTTACATCAGAATGTGGCGCTTTTATTGCTTCAAAATTAGAGATCATGAATTTTGTGTGTATAAAAATGATTAACCAGATAATACACCACATTACACATATTTAAATAAATTATCACTGCACGTTAATTCAATGGTTTTTCCTTTACTATTTTCTTCGGAAGATTTTAAATGAATCACTTATGATATGCAAAAAGTTGTATAGAAGCAAAAAATCTCATGTTGTTACAATATTATTTGCATAAAACTTCTTATCGACGAAGCAGTAAAATTCTTAGTCCTAAACTTGGTGTTAGAAGATTAACGCAACATTTTTTTTTGCAAGCGTGTATAATGATAGAAAGCAATAGGATAAATTTTTTTCGTTATACTCAAAAAAATTGAGGATTAACTGTTACCAGAGCTGAATAGATCATTCACTTCGAAAAAATTTGAAAATAATAAACTAAAAAGCATTTTCATTTTACCTTTAACATACATTAGTGGTACAAAGTATATGCAAAAACATTAGAAAGGTACCACTCTTAACTACAGATCAAATATCACTGTCAGATTATGTTATACAAAACTAAAATCCATATTAGATGATATAATCAAGCAAAATATTAACGGAAAAGTTATTTCCTACGTTTACGAAGTTAAATTTCAAAAAATAGGACTACCAGGCTTACGTTATTGTTACATTGCATCCTAACAATAATTTATTTATTACTACAGACATTAACAACTAATATTTAATATTTTTAATCGAAAAAAATTTTTTGGCAGACATTCCACTTGATTCATACATAAAAGAATTGGTTTTTAGACATACGCTTTATAGACCTCACAATAAATATAGCCTTTGTCTTACCAGCTATCAAAATATTTGTACAAAAAACTTTCCAAAAAAGTTTACTTATTATAATATTTAGAAAACATTTTCCTCCAGAATTAAAAAAAAAAAGATAATAACTGTGATACTTAAATATACAATATAAAAATAAGTAATCAAAAAATTCCAGTTAACAATTCCACGCTTGTACTTCCATTACAGACTATACTAGAACACCTATTTATATACGCTGATGAAAATAATATAGAATTATTTGACCAAATATCGGAGTATCTAAATGATCGTTATTCAAGCCCTATGGAAGCAGCAGGGTGGTTGCAGAAATTTTCTCTTTGTCGACAACGCCATTCGATATTTAACTTACCAGTAAATGTAGCAAATGAAGAAAATATAGTTGTCAAATAAAATCATATGTTCAGAGCTATAGTAAACTCATGGAAAGCTTTGACGGCTTGGTTAAAAATTAAATGAAAAAGATTGTTTTGCAAGAAAAATTTGCTATGTTAATATTTCAGAATGATACTGTTTTTAATCAGTAACAAAAACTTGGGTGAAATAGGAAAGAGTTTAAAATAATTTATCAATAGGTCGACTTAACGTAATGTCCCCGAAGGACTTGGAGAATTTCTAAAAATTAATTTTAAATCGCATTAGTGGAGCAGAATTTTTTAAATGTTAAGAACAGTTAACGACATGCTTCATACTACATTTTAAGATGTTGCTATTGCTATACGTTTAGTCGAACATCATTCCCAAATTCAATTTTTTATTTAAAATAGTTGTCAGAAAATTACTTTAAAAAAAATAAAGAAAATAATTCTCTTTAACAGCTAAATCTCGTTTTTAAATTCTAAAAACACTGCAAAAACTTCCCAAAAAAATCCTTACAAATAGTTAAACAAATATGACGTGATTATTGTAATACAAATATCTATTTTGGCAATAAACAAATTGTTTTAGGAAAAGATTTCAGCCAGATTGTTCCAATTCTAAAAATCAAAAATAGAATCATAACTATACAAAAAACTTTTGTATCAGTATTAAATTATTGTATTTTTGGTCGTTTTTCCTTACTGTAGAACTTGAAATCAATATTTTTTTAACTGACAAAACATTTTAAAATAATTATTAGGGAAGAAGAAATCATACCATTGCAATAGCCAAATAAGTGGGAAGCAACTAACATTTGTTTCGGTGTTTTTGGTTAAGATATTTACTTGACAAAACGTTTTTAAAATTATTGTATGATATTGGAGAAGGACAAATTATACCGTTGCAAGAGCCAAATAAATGTATAGTAACTTACGTTTGTTTCGATATTTTTGGTACAGATATTAACTATTTAATGAGTAATGCTTTACTTACTTCTTATTACGAAAATACTTACTTCTTAAATAATAAAATTTCAAATTACTTAAAAGGAGGAATGAAAAAAAATTACATCATAGATCAAGCCTCTTACAAAGGTGTTGATAAATCTGATAGTAATATTTATATAAATTTTCTAAAATTTGTGGAGGTTTCTCTCCGCTTGTGCTTAGTTTAAAAATTCGAACAATTGTTGGGTTAATACGAGAATAAAGTAAAGTTAATGGCTTATGTAACGGTATAAGATTATAAATTATGAAATTACTTAAATACAATGGTAAAGCAAAAATTATAACCAAAGAAATAATTTTGTAAAGAGTTTTTGAACCAAAAATTACTCTGAACACAGAAAATTCGTCATTACCTTTTGTTTCATACAGAAAACATTTCGTTTAGTCCATACCGTTTTCCAGGACTATAAATAAATCTCAAAGTAATAGTTTTTGATAATATCGGATTATACTTCAAAAAACCACTTTTTTGCATAGTAACTTACACGTCGTGTTATCATGATACGAAAATAAAAAATAGAATTTATAATTCAATAGATGTGTAAATAAACTATAGATGTAACAATTTTAAAGGGATTGGTGAAAAGTGGCTGAAGAGAGCTAGAACAAGTATTGAAGCTTTAGTCAGACAATTTGTTAAGAAGTTATTAGGTGGACCAAGAGGAGTTTCTAAAAAAGTGTAAAGAAACCTGCAACGAGGGGTGTGAAAAGTAGTAACTAAAAAAAACATAATAACCGATATAATTTCACCTCATTTAGAGACGCAGCTGAAGGATTGCTGAAGGGAGTTCTTTGAAGTTGTGAGGGGAAGTTTGTTGGTTTTCCCGGTTATTATGCTGAATAATTGTGAGGGGGGGGGGGGGCAAACGAAAATCAAACCCAACAAAAATAAGGTAAAACCTTGTCAAGAGGGGAGGCTCAGGGGACTCTTAACGATTGTGTGGCGGGCTGAGAGGAGCTCTTAAAAATTGTACGGTGGGCTAAGGGGGTCAGAAAGGGGATTTGTGAAATGACTGTAAAAAAACGCTGTACAATATAGGGAAATTTACATATATTTAAAATAAGCTTTCTGCAGTCGTTAACATCTAAAAAACACAATTGCAGTTTAAACTATTATTAGCTATTACTAGGTATTATGTAATAAAGACACTATGTCCTGGTTCATTGTAATTAGTTGAGGGAATCCTAAAAAAACATCAGTTACATACGTTTGTGAAACTTAATAACAGTTTTTGTGTTATATTAAGTGATTCTTCAAAATAAACTATTTAAAAATAACAGGAAAAATCAAAAAATTGATTTTTTATTCATATTTGTTTTTTGAAACTACAAATAAAATTTTAAAAAACTATCTGATACAATCAAATTTCTTTTTTAGTGATATTTATTAAAAAATGAAAAAAAAAACTGACCAAGATAAAATAAAATTGGTCTACAAAATCCTGAGTTGTAACAGATGAACACCTTAGCTACATCACTTAATTTTTATTGGTAACTTTATAAAAGAAATTCGTTCTATGTTATATGAATATTGTATCCCATGGGAAACCATAAACTTAAAACATTTAAGTTCGTTGTACCGTTGTTAACTATAATTTATAAAAGCGTTTAAATGAACAACTGACTTGACATAAATTTGTTACACCTCAGAGTATTTAATAAAATGTAATTTTTTTTTTTTTTTAGATAAATGAGTTAAGTCATGTTAATGTTCCCGTGATGCTATTACCAGATGATTTTAGAGCTTATAGCAAACTGAAAGTTGATAACCATCTCTTCAACAAGTATGTAAAATTTTTTTAAAACTTTCTTTAAACTAATGTATAATTTATCTACCCTAATTGTCCATAAAATTTTACTGCTGACTGTATTGCAATCCATAGTATATATCATCTAGTTGAGCTCTCTCACTTACGTGTTAACTAATTTAAAATTATTTTATTTACATTATTTCATTATTCTTTTGTTTGAAGTAAATTGTGGTCATGCTAATTTGATTACATTTGTGTAGTATTCTGTAATTAGGTTAATGTGTACCATTTCTCAATTCCTAAATGTTAAAAATTATTCCTAAAAATTCTGATTCCATTTTTTGTTTCTAACAACCTTTTTAAAATATCACAAAAAAGTCACTACTACGAACTGGTAGCTTTCTTTTCTATACTAAAAGTGGTTGGATTGCTGACTAGCCATAACTTATTGTTTTTCGTAACAAAGTACATTATTACGTAAATGTTTTCAAATTTTGGCTCAGCTAATTAAGAGAGGTGTTAGCTCAACGGTAGGTACGTTTGGTATGAGAAATAACAATGTTTTAGAAGTTAATGGTTGATTCCTGATGAATACAGATTTTTTAAACGGCTATGTGCAACAAAAAGTTAGTGTGGTTCAAGATATTTTTTTGCCCCACAGGCCTTCGAGCCTGGGTGAATGAAAAACAGTATTAGGGCTTAGAAATTACTGAATCCACTACTATGGGCAAAAAGCGCTGGCCTTACCAGTGGGGAGTAGTCCCTGAAATATGGAGCTTTGTAGGAATGCTTTTTTACCTACATTCTATGCTTTCAGAGAAAGGGCTGGCTAAAGTGGTGAGGGCTGGACCTTTACAATAGGGAGTTTTCTCCCTGAAAAAGCCACATTGCGACAAGCGAAAAGAGCGGAGAGAGTGCCAGCTGGGCTAGCAAGGTGTGCTTACAATGACAAGTTTTTCTTGATAAACTCTCATTTCATAAATTAATAAAAAGTTTATCAACAACACAAGCTCCTAGCACCAGGTGAACTGGAGCACTTACTAGACACTTTATAAATTAATAGAATATTAATTAACAACACAAGTTATCATCACCAGAGAACCACCGGTGATTATTGGCCATTTTAGTAATTAACAAAAAATTATTTAACCACACAAGCTTCTATCACCAGCTGATCCGCTCACTTGACACTTAATCAATTATTAGAAAATTAATTAATATCACTAGCATTTATCACCAGGGGACCAGTCCTAAGTGGAGTGTTTTATATGTACAGTATGAAGTATTAGTTAATTAAATAATTTAGTTACAACTGTCGGTAATAGATGGCCTTTATAATAAAATCGCTTTTTATATCAATGAATGTTTTATTAACCCATAAAGTGGCTAGTAAGCGCCCCGGGTCACCTGGTGATGAATTCTTGTGTTGCTTATTATTTTTTTTTAATAAAGTTGTCAGTAAGCGCACCGGGCATCCGATGGTAGCCATTAATGTTAATTATTTGTTAATTAATGCCTCAATAATTAGTAAAGTGAGTAGTGAGCGCTCTAGGTTGCCGGGTGATGGGTGCTTGCAATAGGAAATATATTTTTCAACTAATAAAAGGGCTTGCAAGCACCCAATGTCATTTGGTGATAGGTGCATGTGTCGTTAATTAATTTTCTGTCAATAAATAAAGTGGTCAGTAAGCGTCCAGGGTCACCTGGTAATAGGTGCTTGTGCTATTAATTAAGTTTCTATGAATTACTAAAGTGGCCAGTTAGTGCCCTCGGTCAGCTGGTGATATGCGTTTGTGTTAATAATTTTTGTTTTATTAATATATAAAGCGGACAATAAGCGCCCTGGGTCATTTAGGGATACGCGCTTATGGTATTAGTTAATGTGTCGTTAATTAATTATAAGGCCAGTAAGCTCCAAGGGTCACCTGATGATAGTTGCCTGTGTTATTAATTTATTTTCTGCTTATTTTTAAAATGTCCAATAAGAGCCCATGATCACCTTATGATAGGAGATTGTGTTATGAATTCTGAGAAGTTTTTAATTTTTTTGTTCCATAATTTACTGCAATTGATCACAGTGATAAGTTTGGTGTTAGTTAATATTAATAGATAAAACAATACACCCTTACACAATGGTGGTGAGTGTGTGGTTCCAGTGACTTAGTAAGGTAAAGGACCCAATACTCGACCGAGCATGAATACTCGACCACAGTATTAATGTCATCTGCACATGGGCAAAAGTAAAGTTTTGCTATCTACACATGCGCAGAAATAAAAAATGTACCTCGATTTAGGTGATCAACTTTTGGGGTAAGAAAGGTACGTTTGTGAACTCTTTAAGATAATTAAATTTTAGAAGGAAATCCTTTTTAACTTACATTACTATAAAGTTAAGCAGTTTGTTTATGCTGTCCAACAATTGCAGTGTTAAATTTTTGTAATTGATTAATTTTCTTGGTGAATCAACCAAAAATTGTGTAGAGTGGTCGAGTTTCGGGTCCTTTACCTTAGTAGGCCGTTGTGGTAATCTGAAAAAAAGTATTTCAACAATTTTTAAGATTCAACAACTTATTGACATTTTACTGAAAGACGACGAAGTAACGCTGTACGAAAAGAATTTTTATTTTTCAAACTATTGCTTGTTTTATTGATGATACTATTATTAATAATTTTGAAACGCAAACTTGGTAGTTTGGAGTATGACTATTAATTCATTATTTATTTACATCTATGAATATTTTGCTGTCTTACTGACAGTCTCTTCAGGGTTTAAACATGTAGGTGCTAAAATAATATGCATCATGGACACCTATTGAGCCTTTAATTCAGTCCATATATTTACAAACTCTACTTAGTTTAATAGAAGTCATGTTCTTAAGAATACAATACTGTCATAAATATAAAAATTTTAAGACTCTTTAAATAAAAAAATTTTGTGTTTATGATGGTATTGCATTCTTAAAAAGATAACTCTTATTAAACTAAGTAGAGTTTGTAAATACATGGACTAAATTCTAGGCGCAGTAGGTGTCCATGATGCGTGTTGTCTTTGCACCTACATGGTTTTAATCCTAAAGAGGCTATCAGCAAGACAGCAAAATATTGATAGATGTAAATAAATTATGAATAAATAGTCATGCTCCAAACTACTACGTTTGCATTTCAATATTATTTGATGACAAAGGAGCAAGTGAAAGGAGTCTATAGATATAGATACTATTATTACTTTCAAATCATTGACAAGCCCTAATGTTAAGTGGCACTTTGAAAAACTGAATTTTTTTTCACATTACAATACAGTTTTATGATATATTTGATGCTCTAAATAAAGGACTAAACAGTTGAAACCACTCTACGGACAGAGTCTTGTCTTTGGTATTATTCAAATCTGACTAATGGTGTTCATACCATTTTTATATCTGCAGCAAAAAGTATTGTTAATTTATATGAAAAAATTGTCTGTTTTCATTGGAAATTGCGTTTTAAAATAGTTCTTGCTGCTTATCTCTAAGCTTCCTTACTAAAAAAATTGTATTAGATTGTAAATAGTAAAAAGTTTTAATTGTCCTACAACTTTTTTTCTTAATCAGAAAATTTAAGTCTCATTGCTTAGCCTATACTTTTACAGCCTTGCAAATAATAAGTAATTTTTTGTCTGACTTATTACTTCTGAAAAATTTATTAATGTTACTCTAATATGAGAAATCTACTATTTTCAGAAATGAATTGCGAAATTATTTTCCTTATTTTGTTATACTTACAGTCTTCGTTGTCTGTATGCATTGCCTTTCTTAATATGAATTATACACTACTTTGCTAATGTTGTTAACATCATGCTTATTATTATCACACAAATACAGTCCTAAAATACCTCTTGGTTTTAAAAAGTGTATTTGGGTTAGAAAATATTTGAACTCAAATTTAACAAAACAACTACGCCACACAATTCTATGGTATGAATTATGTTTGCAAACAAGAAACTAGTTTATCAAACAAATTTAAAAATATTTTTTTTCTAAATGATATATCATTGCTTTTACATAAAAAAAAATTACTATGGAAACAATAAAACAACTATAACTAAATTAGCATAGTCTTATGCCTTTAATTTGATGAGCTATTCTAAACTTTGTGTATTTGTACAAAAAAATTGAAAATTGCTGATTTCTTCACTAAAACTAACTAAACTCTGGTCTAAATACCCTTTAATTCCTCCGAAAATAAAGTAAAAATTTACAACAGATAAGCTGAATCCTCTCGGCCTGATATGGTAAGAAACTTTTTTATTTCCATTACCTAATAGCAGTGAAATGTCCTAGCTTGTATTTCTAATGGTGTTAACTCTCTTTGTGTTAAGACAATATCCAGTGTAGCAGTTCTGTCTTTTTTATCACTAACACTCCTAGTTTGTATTGTAATTTTCTATAGTTTTTGCCTCTGACGTCTGTGTTGCCTGTGACGCTAGCGTTAAGGAGCACATAAGCCACAGACGTCCCTGCTGACCAAGTCAGAGAGCCGTTTGACGTTGCTTGTCGCCTTGTTGACCTTGTTCTGCTTCGTAGCCTGATAGTATCCGAACCGGTAGTGTTATCTGCTCTCTCAGCAATACTAAAAATCAGCACCAAGAGCTACACCAGGGACAACACCCAGGGTCCTCAGGATGACACACGAAAAACGCCGAAGAAAACAAACGAAAACAACGAAATAAACTGATAATGCTGACCGCACGCTTTTTGGCCCAAGCTCATCAGACGCTCTCTCGGCTCTTACTCTTTTTCTTATTTTTTTTCCTTACCTCTTTCTTACCTATTCCTCTTACCTATTTACCCTAGCTCTCCTACACCACTTGTGATGGCCTAACGGTGGGGCACCATTCCAATGTATACATTTTAACAAAGATTAAACTGGAATATTTTATGCTATTTGTGAACAAAACGATAAAATTTTTTTTAAAAGTCATGAATCTTTGTAAACTCCCATTAGACTTAAGCTATATGAAGAGAACGTTTTTAAAAAAAAATTGAAAGCCACAA